CGGGGCACATCTTCAGATGCTGGTCTAAGTGTGTGCTGAGTATAAAGGCAATCGGATTGATTTTAGTGCCCAAAGTGCCGGTGACAAAAATACATGTACAAATGCTATGGGCTTGGGCTGAAAAAGAAAAAAAAAAGGAAACTAGAGCTGTATGTCTGTGTGGCGGAAAAACGGGACCTGTCTCTATTCGTCTCAGAAACAGTCCACGATAGCGCTGCCACCAGGCGGAAAATTTTTAGGCCCTAAACCTCCGGAGTTCCGCCTCACCGGTTTAGTACTTCTTGATCTAAGACTAGGGTTCGCCGTCAAAATATATGACCAAGGTGAAAAGATAATAAGCAGGACAAGGTCTTATTTTCCTAAGGACGGACTAAAAGAAAGTACTCTCTTCAGGCAATCATTAAATAGCACAACTCGAAGAACAGTAATTTAATTCAACTTCAACAACAAATCTACAATATCAAGGATGAGCTGAATATACTTATTTATACTATAAGGAATAGCACTCTCTCTCTCCACTAGTCAACAATGTTATATTAAAATGGCTGAGTGCATTCAATAAAATATAGTACACTCTGTACTGGGGGGAATAATAGTTGACTCAAATTATTCCAGTAAACAGTGCTGAACTTAAAGGGCTAGGCAACCTCAATACCTACAAATAATATCACTAGTTAAAAATAAGTACCACTAGGCAATTCCGTCTGCCAGTGGAAATATGTATCACTAGGCAACTCCGTCTGCCAGTAGAAAATAAATAACTAGGCAACTCCGTCTGCCAGTAGAAAAATAAGTAACTAGGCAACTCCGTCTGCCAATAGAATATAAGTATCACTAGGCAATTACGTCTGCCAGTAGATAATAAATATAACTAAACCTCCATCCAAGCCCTCTGACAGGTCAGCCAGTAGTTTCTTGAATATGTCAACAGCGCTGGAAATAATTCAAAGACTGCAATTATCTATCTTGCTCCTCCACTCCACTCCAATTATTAATAACTTACGAACTGTCCCAGCTCCTCAGCTCCTCCTTGGCTCCTCAAGCTCCTCCTCAGTTTCTCAAGCTCCTCCTCAATTTCCCAAGCTCCTCCTCAGTTTCGCACTTCTCCTTAGCTCCTCCTTGGCTTCTCCTCCGTTTTCAGACTCCACCCTATAAACTTCTCAATACTATCACACTTCCCTAGGCTCCTCCTCAGCTCCTCCTCAGCGATCAGCAGTACAAGACTCAACCCACAAGCAAAACTAACCAACCAACCCCAAATCAACCAAAATCTGTCCTTTTTATACCATTGAACTGCGCGCCATACGCGCGGCGCTCCATACGCGCGGCGCTCCATACGCGTAGTAAATAAGCCACGCCCATAAGTTGGAAACTGGCAAAAATTACCATGCACAACAAAGTTTTCACTCACCTGAGAAATCCATAATTTATGCTGCAAATTCATCAATCAAAATATACAATAATCTCCCCTTTCTACATTTTAAGTTAAACCTAAGACTTGGATCGGAAATGACTGAAGTACATCAAGAAAACCCAAGAATAAAGTTATTACCGAACGTAAACAAACCTAGTCCCATTCAGTAAAATACAGTGACCTCGTCTCATAAATATTCATGAATGTCTTAGCAGACGAAAAGTACAAGAAATTCTGTAAATAATTCCTTATTCATAAATAATCTTCCAAAAACATACTTAGAGGACTGAACTAGATAAAAGTTATATAAAGGCAACTTTCTAGTGTGTTATTCCTAAGTTTTAAAGACTAAATTAAGAAATAATCGTTTAAAACTACAGGCCAATCCGAAACAGTTTTAGAGGTCTAGAAGGCGGCCATCTTGAATTTAAGCAAACCCTATTTTTAGCGTACAAACACATGTGCGCTGCAGTAATGCATGGGAACAGCTGACATCGTGGTAAAATAGCGATAAATTATGCCTCTTAAAACAATCATAACTTGGAGGAAACCTATTCTACATCTGTACATGGATGGAAGTTAATTTAGGGACATAAGGTGAGTCTAAAGAAAATGACTGGGGGCATTTTCGTCACATCTGTTTGCAAACAGAACTCAGGGATTTTTCGCATTTTACAAATATTTGTTTCGTTTGTCCTTTTGCAGTCACTTTTCAGAGTGCTTTATGCAGTTAAAGGTTGTTCAAAACGCTTAGAATAATTCCTAAAGTATAATTTTATCAAATGATGTCACTTGCCCTGCAATGACGTCATCCTTAAGACCCTTCTCAATGCACATTTTGTCATTGTGATTTTGGTTTGAACCAAGTTTAATGTCAATCCGATGAAAGAAAGTGTGCAATTTGTGGAAGCACAATAAAATTTAAATATCTAAAAATTATAAAAACCAAACGATGACGTCATCTTGACGTCACTTTAAACTTTGTATACTAGTACCATTATTTACCTACCCATTAAGTTTTATGACAGTCGGACCTTTCCTTATATGTGTTTTGAAAAATCACATTTTTATGACGTCATAATGATGTCAGATATTTTGTTCAAAATGTTGTGCAAATACCTTTTACCTAACAGACCAAATACACAAAGAATTTTGAATTTTGCATGTTACGTTCATGAGATATGGCTAAAAGGTCAAAAATTTCAAATATTCATATAAAATCTCCGGATGACGTCATCATGGCGTCACCTAATTTTTTTTTTTACCTATAACACATCCCGGTCTAACCACATACCAAGTTTCAACCCAGTCAGACTTACAGTTCTGTAGATATAGGACAACATAACATGCACGTACATTTTCAAAAATCAATGAAAAAAAAATTGGGTGATGACGTCATCATGACGTCATAGTCTTGGCATAATTTTTGTATGAGGGTCTTCCTTGGCTGTAACATTGATGACGATTCCAGATCGCCAAGTTATAGAAATGGTGGCTTGAAAACGTGTACAAAGTCAAGGGGCTAACACGTGTACAAAGTTAACGGGCTAAACAAAATCCCACTGCAGAACAATTGGACCTTTAAATTTGTAATTTGCCTTTGAACTGAAACATTTTTATGAAATATTACTTGATATTCTGACCCTTAGAAATATGTTCAATCGAATGACAGCGCGAAAAAAAATACGATTTATCTTTCCTTCTAACAGACAGCGCGAAAAAATACGATTTCTCTTTCTTTCTCATAGTAATTCTCGGCTGAAGTTCAGAACTACTCAGTAAGATATCAGTGTTGTATAGAAAAAGATGTGTGGAAAATCCCACTGCAGAAAAACTGCACCTTTAAATACGTAACATAGGGCTTTTCGGCATAATGATTTTTTATTATACGCCCCTGACTACACGCATGCATGAACATAAAATCTGTCAAGGTTAGCCGAAAATCGGCTAAAACGGTCACTGTGATGTGGACAGGATTTGACCTCGGCAACACGTGCTCTGCAGGCTGACTGACATACGATGTATGTGCGTAACGTACGTGTATGTACATGTACATATAGACGTTCTGTGCATGTTTTAGAGCAGAGGTATTGTCAACCTGAAGTTTTAAGCGTGCGTAGGGCATGTCCGAGTTCGCTTATTGCCTCGAAGCTTTGATATGTTTTAGACCTACCCTTAAATCGACAATTAAAGTAAAAACTAACATAAAAACTGCCATGGTTGATTTTTCAGGAATTTTCAAAAGAAAAACGGTCTTTTCATTATAACTTCCGGTCTGATGACGTCATTTGCCTAAAACTTCGCACACGTCTTAAGTGGGTCAAGGTCATCATATACACCAATATTTAGGCGTTTCCGACAAACTTCGCCACAGACATCTATTCAAAATACATTTTTGCAAATTTTCAACCTGTCGCTAGAGGGCGCTCGAAGATTGCATGACGTCATTGGTAGATGATTTGAAGAATACTTTTAGCCAACAGACTAACACCGTTAAAAGCAAGTTCATATCTATTATCACTTTCAAATAATAAGCCACTTCCGGTTTTAGCCTTTTTCGACCGGAAGCAAGGGTCACGTGATTTCACGCACACTGAAAGAAATAAAGACCTCAACCTACTCTACCACTTGCCGGTAACAGAATGCTGCGGACGCGTACGGTTCATTTCTTATGCATTTTTAAATATTAAAAGTGTCACAATTTAATTGCCTATCAATACACACCGGATGACGTCATCATGACGTCATCATTACACAATGTTGTTTGAATTAGGGTCTTTGCTCGGACAAATATTGGTGCAAATGAATTATTGGCAAAAAGTCAAAAATGCCCTTTGAAAATCGACAATTTTTTCTTAATATCTGTGTACAAAGTCTACGGGAAAAATTAAATATTAAAAAATCTATAATAAATTAGTCGATGACGTCACCATGACGTCAATCTTCGGGACACATCTTTGCTATAGGGACTATGCTTATGCAAACTTAGAATGATGTATGACAAAGATTAATGCCAAAAGTGGAGGCCAGAAAAAAACGTGCACAAAGTCTATGGGGTTTAGGCGACAAAAAGAAGAAAGAAGATGAAAAAAAAAAAAATGAGAACAGAAAGAAAGGCTTTTTCGCAAAATTGCGAAAAAGCCAAAAAATTAAATTCTTAACGAAAACAAAGGCTGTTTCGGCTGGTTGCAGAAACAGCCAAAAATAAAAATCTTAACGAAAACAAAGGCTGTTTCGGCTGGTTGCAGAAACAGCCAAAAAAAAAAAAAAAAAAATCTTAACAAAAACAAAGGCTGTTTCGGCAAAAGTGCCGAAACACTTTTACTTTCAGGACAGAAGGGGGTACTAGAATTTCAGCAGCTGACTCTACAATATTACTTACAATGGGGCCACTATAGTAAAAAGAAAGCTAAGGTTCATACATTTTATTTATAGTTAGCATAAAATGAGAACTTTCCAGTGAAATACTGATCATTTAAAAACTTTTGTTTCCAATTTTGTCCTAATACAAAATGTGGTTGTCATTACACTCTCCCTGTGTCTATTGAGCTGCAATAAAATTGATTAATAACACTTAAAGACTTACACTGTATGTATCACAATCCATAGGCCCTTCTTCAAGAATCTTAACTGGTTCATTTTCACCACCTGGTAAATCAGGATCCCAAACGAAGAACAAGTACTCCTGGAGCCTCTTGAGAGTAGGTGTTCTATGTACAAGAAAAAAAGAGAGACAAAATATTAATAACACATTAGAACAGTAACACAAAGGGACCTGGACAAATGGCCGTAAAGGACTGCACATAGCATTACATTTCTAGTTTGCACTAACAAGACAGTTGCGATAACCTTACCTGTTTTTTACACACCAGAACAGCTTTGGTAGAAATTTGCTACAATGTTTTTTGGGGGAAGATCACAAATCATTTAAAAGGAAAGGATGTGCGTTTCAAAAGAAACTTGGGTAACTGTGTCAAAATATTGATTGATTTAATTTTAAATCATTATTTTTTAACCTAAAAGCCATCATTCTTATAATAATAAGAAGATAATAAGGAGCCGGATGGGAATTTCCCCGTGTTTTCTCCCAAAAGGGTTTTCGCGGGGTTCGCCCCTCCCGTAATCAGCGAATATAGTTACAGCAATATGTTTTTTTCTTTCTTTTCTTGATGTTACAAGATAGATCCAAATTTTTCATGTTCACTGAATCAACTTTATAGTAAAGCATTCATACTGTACATGTAGTTATAATTATTTTAAAATATATTGTATTTATAACATTTGCTTAACACCTATGCATTATTCAAATAATGTTTTATCTCACTGTAATGCATTTTATTGTATTTGTAATGTATTGTATAATTATACATGTTTGTAGTCATTATTTATTGTATGCAGGGCCCCAATGGAAACCAGTTTTAAACTGTTTGGGCATACCCTGGGTAAAAAAAAATGGAATAAATAAATAAATCACAGCACCTTGAACTTGCATGTACATTGTGTGCGCTTAAGTTCAGTGACAGTGGGCTGAAGCTGCTGCCCTCTTGCATTTGCATATTTCATCAGTTGATGTTGGAAATGACTGGTTGCAGTCTTCAAAGACAGAAATAACCATGATTCTGTTGATTTTGTGATGAGGTGGTCTTAGGCAGATTAGGCAGTGCCTATCATCCTCATGGGGAAAAAAGGTCAGGTTTCCGCACAAATCACAATGGAGATATTCAGTGAAAGAAAGAGATGGGAAATGTTTGGCATTATATAACTCACATACAGATCCTTGTCATTTGATGGGTGGAACTCACATCATGTGGCATTCATTATTGCTCCCATGCACACTGGGGCTCAAAAAGTCCCATTTCCCCAATGGGGAATGGAAAATACCATTCAACAGTTAGGATCATTCTTGTTCCATGATGCGGTATTTATGTGCAAATGCATGCTGGTGTCCACGTTGCACGTATTGTTCCAAAGAGCCAGTGCTACAGAGTTGGGTTCAAACTTTTGCGAAGGGATGGTTTGGAAGAGAGAAGTACATTTTCCACCAAGTTTGTATTGAAATAAAAGTTCAAATATGTCAAATGACAAGGATCTATATGTCAGTTATATGAGGTCCAGATTTTACCTTGCGATAATATTCCTCCCATTTCACTCTGAGCCACTCAATATTGGTATACTATCAGTGGAACTGGTAGATCGGTGTTGAGGTTTCAAAGTTAGTGTTGTTATTTTATGGAATCAGGTCACCCAGAGTTTAAGTCGGCACACTCCCACTTTACTGGTAATCGGCAAGCACAACGAGTAAGTTGTGTGAACCTGGGTACCCCTCTTCTTTCCGCTAAGCTCACCCCTTCACATGCCTAGCTTGTAAACACCAGCAATCGCAGACCCGATATTGTCCCTAATCCGCATTCCTTTGTTGGTACTCTTTTTACAACAACTCTCTTTTTTTTGCAACAGCTCTCATTGGTTTTGCCCTCGAATTTCAATCGTGGACATGTGGTCAATCGTGGACCCTTTATTAATGACCTGACCCTTTTGTCTCTTGTCCAGGATTGCCAGTATTTACGCACAACCTTTCTCACTCAAGTTACCATCCCGAAACTAAGCTGCCCGGATGGACGGACGCCTGACTAGACGGCCGGAACGACGAGCGGACGAACAGATGCCATAGAAGGTGCACCGAATGAAAGTTCAGGAGTCATTTTCCGGTGAGCACTGTTATAATTTGTATTTCTTGTCACATATGCTCCACAGTGCTACGCAGCATTTCCACTTTTGTGTTAAATATATAAGAGGAAGACGAGGCCGACTACTATAAAATCCCATGATTGGACAAGATCTTTGGTTTTGAATTTTTTGAAGAAAGTTACGATCGAAACTTGGACTTTCAACGTAACTACTCGCTAGTAATCACACACATTTGATAAGTTTTGAGGTAAAACGGGACCAGTTTAGTCTTAGGGCAAAACAAATCAGCAACTGTTTCCACCAAAGCAAGATTTGTAACGCTCCAGTCAGACATGGAGGAAGGAACACAGACAACACACGGTGGGTTGCATACTCTCTCACGTGCTGCAGGAAAATGTTGTCATTCACCGGCACAGGCTGCCGGGCCATGCATTAACTTTTAAGGCCGGGGTCCGGACGGGGCAGCCAGCAGTAATTCCCGTAGTTTATTTCTCATCATCAATTTCCATATTTGTTTGTAAGAGTATCGATTGTAAATGATTTGATATAACTTTTGTGGCCCTTTTTATAGCTCTGTAGTGTAAATGGAACTGGGTCAGAGCATTTTGACAAGAATTTGGAGGCCTTACAAAATTGAAACCGCCGCGTTCGTGCGGCTTATACGCCGCGCGGCTTATATTCCGAAAATTACGGTAGTACCTTATTACTGTATTTGTGTATTATCAGAAACGAGTAAAGACAGATTAAAGAGGACTTAGACCCTGATTAAGTTCATCTGTTATGATTTTATTAATTTGTTTATACCAAGATATATCGCGATATATATCGTATCGTTTGATATGTATCGTGATACGTATCGTATTGTGACACAGGCGTATCGTTTCAGCCTTACCGAAAACAAGCTGCAAAGTGCACTGAGCAAAGTGCCAGAACCTGGAGATGAACCCACCCCAAACACTTAGATAATCTGAAAAAAAGCCATCAAAACTTCCATAACCGACGAAATAAAGCAAGAATGGGTAACCAAAATCCAATCCCTAGCAAAGCAAGGAAGCCATTTGGGACTTATGAATCTTGAATGTACTAACATCACCTGGAAATCCATAATGTACAATCTCCCCAGGAAAGTACTCCACTTTGGCTTGAATTCTATCATTGACACCATACCAGTTAACTCTAATCTCTGTCTGTGAGGAAAGGCAATCAACGACAAATGTTCTCTCTGCTCATCAAAAGAAACCCTCCTTCACGTACTTAACTTCTGTCCAGTAATGTTACAACATGGTCGCTATACTTACCGCAACAATAATGTCCTTAGAGAGATCTGCACATTGTTTGATGATACAGCTAGTAAACCCGACAACTCATTATACTGTGATGATTTAGAAAGCAGACACGCAATTGATGGCAACACAATCCCTCCATCGATCCTTCCAACAACCCTAAAACCGGACCTGGTCATTACTAATGTGGGAGTCCCGATATGATAGGACACCGCCGTTGTGTATGGTGTGTTTGTCGTGAGAACTTTTTCTCTATGACACCGCTATTGCATGTGGAGGAACTTTCCCTCGATGAGAAATAATTTTGCGTAGAGTGGACGATGAGAAATTCGGACACATTTAGGTAGGCCGTATTGGGAAACATATCCACTACTGTTTGGAACTATAAATTTGTTTCTATAAATATATACGTATTTTTTTCAGAAATGTTGAATAAAAATATGTTGGCAATTTTAATGGTTTTAAGTGGCATACTCGTGCAAATTATGTAATAATGGAATGCTTGTTTCGGGGACAGTTGGCTGCCCGTACATCTTGAAGGTCAGTCTAAGAAGTACACGTCCTATAAAAAAAAAGAGGATGAATGGATTTGCCGGCCTCATATAAATCTGATTTGGTATGATCAATTTCTTCCCAATTGTCTTACCTGGTGACAGCAAGTGGTTCATCTTCCTCAATAATAGCACATAGCTTGTTGTCAAAGCGGTATCGTAGCATTCTGTTATGAACTCTTGTGATGCCATGAATCTGGATGCCAAGTATGTTGTAAGCTTTGTAATCAGCAGCACAGAATCGTGACAGAATGAGATCATGGCAAGATGCAAACCTGCAGAATTTTCAAATAAACATAACATGTATAAGACATAAATGTGAACAAAATGGATTTTCAACTAGAGGTAGGGATTGTAACTTAACTACCACAGAGCTGTTCTCATCATGTATTTGATTATCTATAATTGACAGTACAAAATGGTTTGATGAATTATCCAAAAACTGATGCTTTATGCATTCTTAAATGAAAATTATAATCACTCATAATTTAACTTCCAGTACCACCATAGTAGGGGATTGCTGGGTATGAAAGATGTATGACGTACTGAGTCTCTGTGCAGAGCTCGACCTGTTCATCATGAACACCTTTTTTCAACAGCGACCTAAAAAAATCTACAACTGGTACAAATCATATGAACATAGCACATCATCTCAGGCAGACTTCGTCCTGACCAGAAAATCTAAGAGAAACACAATTAACGATGCCAGAAAGATACCAAATGCAGGACTCGACACTGGCAATCGGCCAGTTATGATGTGACAGAAGGAGAAAACATCACAAATCTTCAATGGCAAAAGGGGCAAGGGGAAAGTGCCATGGAATCCACCCTTAGGCCTCTATACAGCGACACCCTCTGTGTTACTATAACAGACAACACATACTGAGTCTCTGTGCAGAGCTCGACCTGTTCATCATGAACACCTTTTTTCAACAGCGACCTAGAAAAATCTACAACTGGTACAAAACATATGAACATAGCACATCATCTCAGGCAGACTTCGTCCCGACCAGAATATCTAAGAGAAACACAATTAATGATGCCAGAAAGATACCAAATGCAGGACTCGATACTGGCAATCAGCCAGTTATGATGTGGTGGCGAAGGAAAAATGCAACACCTGTTTGATTGAACAATAATTGTGTTTTTTCTATTTTTTGAGCAACTGGTACTCATCAGGATACAACCAGTCACCAATGCTTTTGAATTTTTGAAAGCAATAACTTTGATTTTATACAGAAATTGAAATAACAAATCTGAGGGACAAATAAAAAAATGTTATGGCTAAAAGACTGAATGCAAGAACTGTACCATGCACTCGAAGAATGGCCTTCTTCAAATCTGACATTCCCTCCACTCTCAAGCTCAGCAAGCGACCTTTTAATAGAGATCCTTGTGGACTGCTTCACACGTGAAAATGCTTCATCATAATATGTATCCATCCTGCATGTTTGGCAAAGCACAGAGAGGAACGTTTATTCATTATTATTCTCCTATTTAACAAAAGCATTTTTAATAAATTAAATGGCATCTAAACTAAACGATTTGGGGGTTTAAAAAAATGTACTCACTCTTGCAGTATTTTTGTGCAAGTTATTTTGCGATCCTCCAAAGCTTGTAACTTGCTCTGCATCTTGCTGAAAGTAGATCCTGTGGTTTGCATCATATCTTGTGCGTCACTTTCTGTACCACTTCCAAGTTGTTCCTCCTCTTCAAATTCTCTCGTATTCAGTTTGGAACTTTCAAGCTCTCCTATGTACTTTTCAATCTAATGAAAGACAGAAATGGAAAACCATGCATCATAATCTTTCCAAAAGGCATATCTACAATTTTCATTCAACAAATTGGGATGGCTTTGGAAAAAATACCAATGAAACAAATCCAAAAACCATGCATTGAGATGAGGGTTCCCTAAAATACTAAAACTGGAATCCCCCCTCCTATGTGGGACAAGTCTGTGAGAGAATACTTACCCAAATAGCAACTACATTTGCATATTTCCCTTTGCTGGCAAGCCAATTCGCTAAGCATTTAATTGCACAATAATGCGCCTCTTGGCACCCACCCATGATGCCATGCGGCGTCGCCGCCATATTGAATCTGTCTCTTTTCTCGTGCCAGTCAAGAAGGTAACTAGCCGAGCTTAGAGTGTGGGAAGTGGGCGGGATGCTATTTGGGTAAGTATTCTCTAGTAGACTCATCCCACATGACTTGGGGGGGGGGGTGTCTACTTCGTTCATCTTACCCAAATAGCAACTACATTTGCATAGAATTGCAGGGTGACAGGCGCAAATGGGTGAATTGTGTTCTCTTGTAGACTCGTGAACTTTCTTTCTAAGAGAATACAAACTCACCACAAGGGAGGTGCTCCTGTTATGTCTTAGGAGGTTTCCTCTCTTGTCGTGCTCCTTTTTGATGAGGACATACCCGCTGACAGGACTGTCTGTCCTGGTGCGCCCTCGGTTTGGAGCACATCTTTGAGGTACCAAGATGTGAACGTGGAGGATTTCCAACATGCTGCCTTCGTAATGTCTTCGAGGGGAACTCCCCTGAAGAAAGCCCATGATGTTGACAGTGCTCGCACTGTATGAGTATGAGGCTTCTGTTTAGATGAACCCTTGTCCGTTGAAGGCCAATGCGGGTTTGCTGATTTAATCACCGACACTATCCATCGAGCAACGGTGTCACGTGAAGCAGCACAGTGTGAATGTCTTGTTGTTATGAACAGTTGTGAGGTCCTCTCACGTAGTGCCTTGGTCTGGCTGATGTACCATTTAAGAGCCTGCACCGGGCACCAGACTTTGTCGGTAGGGATAGCCGATATTGTACATATTTCTGGTACGAAAATATCCAGAGGTGTAAAACGGATGGATTGGTTTTTAGTCAGGAAGGCCGTTGAGGGAATGAGTCGGATGCCTCCTGGTTCCCAAGGAATGTGTCCTGGTTCAACCGAAAGGGAGTGGAGTTCACTCCTTTTGCGAGAGGTGGCTACAGCCAGGAGAAACACTAGTTTAAGAGTCATGTGGTACAATGAAGCCTGGCCCAGGGGCTCCAAAGGGGGCTTCATTAATGACTGTAGGACTTGGTTGAAGTCCCAAGAAGGTATAAGATTTCTTATTGGGGGATGCTCAAAAAACATTCCTTTTTGTTGTTTGAGATCACTGAACCATCTTCAAATCCGTTGTGGAGAGCGGAAAGGGCCGACCAGTAGTTCTTGACTGTTGCTACGGTCAGACTGTGATTGTAAAGGTACAGCAAAAAATCACCGACCAATGTCAGAGAAGCTGAGGTTTGATCACTAGACTTTGTTAGTAGGGATATTGATGGCTGTTGCATTGTAATAGTAGGGCATTGATGGCTGTTGCATTGTAATAATGCCGAAGTCTTGAGTCGTAAAGTAGAGGCTTGGCGGCAGTGTGCTACGAGAGCTGCAGCGTCTTGAGAAAGGCCTGCTGCTCTGAACAATTCTTGCGCAGAGGCCAGCAAGTTAAATGAAGGTCCCATGGGGCTGGATGAAGATTAAGGGACTGCAGTTTGAATATGAAGTCCACTCTCTGAGGTAGTATCCACGGAGTGCAAACTGCCAGCCTGATCAGCCTCGGAAACCAGGGTTGGTGTGGCCAGAATGGGGCTACTAACAACATTCAGCATGTCTCCTGTTCTAAATTGTTTAGGACCTTTGGAAGCAAGGATATTGGTGGGAAAGCATATGCGAACATCCCGATCCATTTTATTGCTAGTGCGTCCACTGCCCATGCTTTGGGGTCTGGGCGCCGTGAGCAAAATACTGGGAGCTGAGCACTGATGGCTGTTGCGAGGTTGGTGTGGGGTCTGTCGATATTGGTGAAGAGCAGACGGACAATCTCTCTGTTGAGTGTCCATTCTGTTAGAATTATCAAACCCCTAGACAGGGTATCCGGGATCTTGTTCTGATCTCCTGGAATGTGGAAGCATATAGTTGTATTTCTTCCTGGATGCACCAATGGAAGATGTCCCAAGTCAGTTAACACAGTTGGGGCGATCGGATGCCACCATGACGATTGATATACGGTTGTGTTGTCTGTGTGGATAGTATAGTCGTGTTCCCTAACGTGGCGCACTTCGAAGCTTACCCAACTTTCCTCGTTTAGTGTTGCCAAACCTCTTTGTTGACAAACCTCAAATTCATGTACTAAAATAATAGTTCTTTTACCTTATTAATGCTTGCTATTTAACCTCTGTGAAAAATTTTGGACCATGCTTGCCATCAGTCCAAACAGCACGAGCCATGCTCTTGCTGGGGCCACATTCTTTGAGAGAAACATGAGAACACAACATCGAAGATTTATGATACAATCTTTGGTTGGAGTCTATGTCTGCACCCAAAAAGACTGGATACTGTGTTGGGGTTGGGTGTGAATTTGTTTCATTGATAATAAAGCCGAGTTATGATGTCAGAGCCCATGTTGACTGGATCACATGTACGCCCTATGACTATCCAGTCGTCCAGATACATTAGGATTAGGATGTTTCGTTTTCGTAAGCTTGCTGCTACTACTAGTGATATCCTTGTAAATACTCGAGGGGCTTTGGATAGACTGAATGTTAGTGTGATATTTATGATGGGGTGCCACTTGCCAGTCCCTTTCTTTGGAGTCAGGAAAAATGTTGACAAGAAACCGGTCTCCTGATACAACTTGATACAACATGCCTTAAATTTGTTTCTGATAATTTGTGACACAATACAGTTTGGCAACTTTGTTTTATCTGCATGAAAACAGTGTGTGAGAACGTCAAATATTTTATTCCCAAATGGACAGAAAAACATTACTCCATTCAATTCTACAGTCTTATGTAAATTGCCTGTTGAAAAAAATGACAACATGTTAAAACATGTCAGATTTTAACATCGTCATTAAGCAAGTTTTTGTTTAAATTAATTTCACTTGTTTGGCCTCTTGGAACTTGCCACTAACGACATCTCCCAAAATGGGATGAGACTAAAACCATGCCCTGCCCCCTCCCTTGACGTCACATGACCCATGATGATGTAATCATGATGTCTCTTCGGGACACAAACTCACTATGGGGTCTTTACATAGGTTAGGTTTCATTAGAATACAAGTCTGTTTAAGGTCCAAAATGGCCCTGTTAAAAAAACATGTACAAAGTCTATGGGATTTGCGGTTGTACTAAAAAATGAAAAGAAAAACCAAATCAGAACAAAAACAATGCTTTTCCATTTTTAAGCAGAAAAACAAAACAAAAAATCTTAACAAAAACAAAGGCTGTTTCGGCATATGTGCTGACACAGCCAATGTTATAAAATTTCTCCCTGGAATCTATTTTAAAATTTGTTGGGAGTCATGTAAACTTAATAAGATGATTTTAAAATCGACCAGACACGGTTCATATATAATTAAACTTTGGAAATTACTCAGATTATTATAAAATAAATGGGTTGATCATTACATTGATGTTAATTTTACCTATATCATTTATTATGAATTATTGGAGGGCTCCTTAAGTTTATTGGCAGTGGGTTATTTATTTCTGTACTCAGACAGAATGAAAAAAACATGGAATTGCCGATATCATATTTAAAATTCATTTCTAGCCAAAGTTTGACAACCGATTGAAAACATCTATACATTATATATATATATCCATGTTTAATGAGAAGCCACAGGTGCAGGTACTTCTGGAAAGTTTATTAATTAGGCTAATGGCCAATGTGAAATCTCTTTGGTGCACAAGGACACCAGTTATAAGCAACCAATGAAAAAAAGAGATTCTGTGCAAAAAACTACATTTTTGATCTCCCTTTTTTGTTAGTCATTCCACTGACATGTTGCTTAGCTGAAGATTTGCTATAGCATGCCACAGCACCCTCCAGAGTCAGCACCTAAAATAGTCAGAGCCGAAGGGTGCAACCCTGTATTAAAATTCCCATAGACACTAGTGCTAAATGCCCATACTTCCAAATTCTTTTAAAAATACTCAGAACTCTCACAGGTATTTAAGCTGTACAGAAGGATGATGATCAACATAGTATCTTTCATTTTCTTTTCATTTTTTGGTGGGTTGACCATTGACTTATTTGAGATATTCTCACCCAAAGAAGACAACCCCTTTTTTTCCCAAAGTGGAAAAGTAGCCATCTTGAAAAACGATGATGGCACATGGCAAAATAACACTGCTTTCGAGCCTAATTGCATCCAAAATTCTCAGAATTGAAAGCCTGAAGTCAAGGCCAGACTTTCATTGCCATATCTCTTCAATTCCCCAATTTTATGGCTCTCAGAACTCTCTACTATAGAATATTTTGAGGGTAAAACTTTTATTCATGACCTTGGTGGATAGATTTAGGCCTATTTACCGGTGTGCACCCTTAAGTGGCTGTCATCTTTGTTCTTAGAGTGAGTCAAACACCAAACGAGGAGCCCACTGTGGGGAAAGGTGGTTCAACAGATTTGGCTCCTTTTCCGGGTCCAGCCCCATTGCCTACATGAATGAAAGGAGAAAGAGACGGCGAAGAAGCCGGGGTTTGGAAAACTGCACCTTGTCTGCTTCCGGCACCAGGCCCACAGACATGGGCGACGCCAGGATTTTTTCTAGAGGGTGGCAAAACAATTTTTTTGCCAAAATATGCTTGTATTTCTCAACACATTCTCGATTTATCAGTTTTAGAGGGGGGGCAGGGACATTTTGCCCCCCCCCAACTCATTAAATTTACACCACTTTTGTCTTCGCGCCTCTTTTTCTTTTATTTTTTTTATTTTTTTTCTTCCTTTTTTGTTTTTTTGTTTTTGTTTTTGTTTGCTTTTCCAGGGGGGGCAAGTGCCCCCCCTGGCCCCTCCCCCTTGCGATGCCCATACCCACAGACTTTGTTTCGCTACGGTAGCAGAAATCCAAACCCTGGACGAAGCAATGAAGACGTTGTCCAGCGCAGCCTGGGCCCGGCTGTGGTGTATATAACAACGCTTATTGAAGAAACAGGGTACCACGCATAAGTTAAAATATGGCCCATGAACATGAACACAAAAAGTCTGGAAATATCGCCGAAAGAAAGTCACAAAATTGGAGCATTTTAACTGTTTATTTTGTTAAAAAGGTATTTATTAATGGGAATAACAGTGTGAGGATCCGGTCTTCACTGCGTGATAATGACCGGGTTTGGGGGTGACCGCTGTTAATGGACCGAGACGAAACAGCGGTCACCCCCAAACCCGGTCATTATCACGCAGTGAAGACCGGCTCCTTATACTGTTATTCCCTTAATAACTCACTTGGCAGCATACAACAATGCAATTATTTTTGAAAGTTTATAATGCAGTATATGCTTGAGCGGTTCCAATCTTTCTAGAGCCGGTTCTGGTTCCCCAAAAAGAGCCAGTTCTGAGTCGAAATGTAAAGAATAACTGTGTCACCTTGTGAAGCTGTGCCCTGTGGATTTCGACATGCAATGCATGTTATTCCACTACGCATGTTTTCAAAGTGTCTTTTTCCTGTGAAACTGCGAGCTTTATTACTTTATTCTCTGTTCCTTTTCCATTATTTTATTTACCGCGGCGACACCACCATGCCGCCGAGAACAAACGATTCACTGCACAGCACTAGTACACACACATGCTTTGCACGTACACACTGGTATCTTGCTTGCAATAAACACGTGGAACCGGTCGAGCGCTTGAACCGGCTCTGATGGACCTGTGTACAAATTTACCCGGCTTTGATTCGAACGAATCATGGGGGGGGGGGGAGGCTGGATTGACTGCTTTATTATCTAGCAGGCATGGCAGCCTATTTTTCACCATGTGTGCCGATCAGAAAGAAGTTTTACAAATGAAGCAAAGGAATAATTCATTTTCATGCAACGGTAGATTGGAGACTCGTATTGAGATGGGGATTTTTTTTACATGTACCTCGGCCCACGGCTCGCGAAATCCAAATCTCAAAACAGCGCTGTACCCAGTTCATGGTCTGTAGAGCCAATTCTTGCGGCATGCACTCATCAGAGCCAGGGCCATCAGAGCTGATTCCAGCACTCAGAGCCGGTGTGACAAAAAAATTGACTCATGTGAACAACGGACTCCTTTTTCGTGATCGTTCATTTTTCTAATTATATATGCAGGAGCATGCGCAATACCACCATGGGGTCCGTATTTTATAAACCTAAATTCATGCTACGCCGATTGTCCAAACAGACTAGTATTGGGTTCAATGCAATGCAATGCATGCATGCATGCATGTCTCGTGGCCTGACCGCAAACATCGAGACTGAAGTTTCGAGACTGAGACCGAGACCAGCCCCTTCAAGGCGGACCGAGACCGAGACTGAAATGGTCCGAGACCGAGACAGAGACCGCGTATAATAAATAACAATAATCTAAATAAAAACAAGACACTAATTACAGCTAAACAGTCTGTTCTCGAGATGATGATGTTGATGGGAATGTGAAGGAAGTGATTGAAAGCTAGGAATAACTTGTACCTGCTTGTGCCATGCGAGTGCTTTTCATGTTTGCTTCATACCTTAAATTACAACATGACAACAGAATTTGTTATTGTCACAATCAATCAAAAAGAATGAAAACAATCAATTTAAAGGAGGGCAAAACCTAATTTGATGAACTCCATATATCTTTGCCACTTTTTTTTAAATATTTTTTTAAAATTATTTTTTAACTACTATAAAGTTTAAATCTGATGAAGAAACTCTAACTTAGGAGTATGACAATTTTTACTAATGTTGTGCAATGTTGAAATTTGACAAAAGTAAAAAGTTAAAGGTGGATGTTGCATCTGTTAAAGGAACTCGGACCCTAAACTCCACAGTCACCCCTTGGCTTCAGCTATGACTACTAACGGATATTTAAAGTCAACTTTAAGTTTACATTGGGCCTCCTTGTAAACCCGATTTCAAAAAAATTGGAGCAAGAAAATATTGAATTTTTTTTTCTTAATT